GAGAAAGAGGCCTCGGAATAGCTCGTAGCCTCATCAGCCCCTCTCACTGTATGTCTAGTCTCAGGCCATCTGATGAAAATGGACAAGAGGGCCGACGACGTTCATCTGAGGATGTCTGCCACCACATTGGGCCTTGGCGTGGAGAAGTGCCACCGAGGTAGGGAAAGGGGGGGTCTTGCTGATGATGATCGTGGTCAGACCTACTCCGCCAGAGGATGCTGCTGTGCCTGAGCGTATTGCTAGGCCGGAAGTCAGGAAGGCAGGATCACGAGTTCGAGGGGAGGTGGCGGCCCGCGCACAGGAGCATCATCATGATGATGATGATTATCAGCAGCAGCTCCATCATAGTTCCCAGACTAGTTATGAGGTAAGTGATCGAGCCGACGCTCCTGTGTCGGGACTAGTGGGGTAGGGTACTTTCCAATCGCTGTTGGATGAGGCGGAGGCTGCGGTGACGGAGGTTGTGAATCAGCATGAACGCAGACACCACCAGCAACAGTCGCATCGGGCACATAGACGAGCACATCATCGGGGTGGTCATAGAGAAGAACGCAGGAAAAAGGAAACTGTAGGTCTCGGCGAGTTGGATTGGGACATGCATGTTCAGGGTGTCCCTCGACAGGGAGGCAGCCTGAGCTCGGCGGATGATCTACAACCCGACCAACCTCAGGGTAAGGGCACCAGCTACGACAGTAGTATTAGTGACCATCTGACCCTAGTAGTAGTAGTAGTAGTAGTAGTAGTAGTAGTAGTAGTAGTAGTAGTAGTAGTAGTAGTAGCTTGACATAGCTACCATGCTCAGAGTATAGAGTTTCGTGCAGTTTCGTGAGACCGACAGTAATCTTTAGGAAGCCACGGTGCCGATAATTAGTTTTAGAGCTACTTGGCCTTGTCGGTAAATATCTCTAATGCACGGTTACAGCGATATAGCTTTGAATCGCCCCATGATCCCTGTGAAAAATTGTCATTCAAAATTGTTAGTGATATGGAGTGATAACCTTTTCGGTCAGCGGTGATAGTAGCCGTAATGTGGTATCATGTTCCTGTTGTTCCGTATAGATATTGGAGGTAGAGAGATAAGGAGGACTGAGCGTCGAAAACATTTAGAAGATAGGAGACAGGCCGAACTGCTACGGACAGGCAGGCGTCCTCTGCTCGGGTCTATTGGGGTGATAGAGAATCTCAGGTCCGGTTGGAGGCCATTCCAATCCAGTTGAGGAGTCTTATGAAGATCCTGATGAGACTGCGAGGTGGGTTGGGAGTAGCTAGAGTTATAATACGTATTTGCTTTCCGCAGCTGAGCTCGGGAGTTTTCATCATTTAGAAAAACTTATGAACGACTTAGGGTAGCCAATTGGAATTTTCCACAAATTTTCCCGTGATTTTTCAATTTTTATAATCGATTGTTATTTTCCAATACTATTAGTCATCGTTTTAATCGTCTACATACTATGATCAAATACATTGCTATACCTGAAACTAACAGCCGATTGTGCTTCAGGCATTTGTCATTCGATGAAGATCTCACATTTGATGTGGCAGTTGAGGCTGAGCCTGATTTCATCGTCCCTGTTATGGATGAGGAGGATACTATATCGGACATACCTCTACCACATGATCAACCCCAAAGGGGCGGCCAGCACCCATTTGAGGAGATATCGTTTACGAATCAACATCGAAGAGGAGGAAGAGGCAACAAGATGGTGGATACTTCGGTGAGTACTTCCTCTAGTGTGTTGTTCTCCTGTTTTCAAGGAGTGTCTTGGTTTGCTTCTATTTACTGTCTTATCCATAGAGCGGTTGTTTGTGTCGCTACTATTTCATGTACAGATTCCGTAATTTGCGAGTGAATTTTCGTTGGTATTGTTGTCGGGCTCAGTTACAAGTTGGACCGGAGCTCTATCCTCCAGTGCCAGCTCCTACCCGGAAGAAGACGACTCAGCGTAG